AAGCTAAAACCATTTCATATAATTCATGAAACAGAAAAGATCACATTGTAACAACATGAAAGAAAAAAAAAAAGTACCCTAGAAAACTCAAGGCAATGTTCTCCTATCATTAATAGTGACGGACTGTAAGAGAAGTGTGAGAGGTAAGAAAGGTCACCAAAACAGCCCCCTAAGTGTCATTCAGCACTCCAGACAAAATGCTTTAAACACTGAATACCACGTGAAAATGTTTGAATACAGCTGCAATACTGCCACTTTTAAATGTCTAACAATACCCAGAAATTCAGTTAAAGAACATACAACAGATACTAAATCAAATTAGGAGATAAGGCACGTGCTTAGAAGAGCTCACTCTGAAGTTCCATTTACGCACTGAAATCCATGGAGGCAGATGAGAAAAACAGCGCGATGTGGTTGATAAACTTGATCACTGCTTAAATAATTCACAGACTACAGGAAATGGGACTGAGATGACACAGATGACTTGCTGGTATCGTAGCAATCTGTTAACTCTACCTGGGGGTCAGTTTATTTATAGACTTATAGATGACGCTCGCCTGAACATGAGCCGGCAGTGTGCCCAGCTGGCCCAGAAGGCCAACGGCATCCTGGCGTGTCAGGAACAGTACTGCCAGCAGGAGCAGGGAGGTGATCGTGCTCCTGTACTCGGCTCTGGTGAGGCCGCACCTCGAGTGCTGTGTTCAGCTTTGGGCCCCTCACTACAAGAAGGACATCGAGGCCCTGGAGCGTGTCCAGAGAAGGGCTATGAAGCCGGTGAGGGGCCTGGAGCACAAGGCGTGGGGAGCTGGGGGTCGGCCTCTTCTCACAGGTAACCAGTGACAGGACTAGAGGGAATGGCCTCAAGTTCCACCAGGGCAGGTTCAGGTTGGAAATGAGGAGACATTTCTTGTGAGAAATAGCAGTCAGGCACTGGGACGGGTTGCCCAGGGAGGTGGTGGAGTCACCGTCCCTGGGGGTGTTCAAGGAAAGGCTGGACGTGGTGCTTAGGGACATGGTTTAGTGGGTGACACTGGTGGTAGGGGGATGGTTGGACCAGATGATCTTGGAGGTCTCTTCCAACCTTAACAATTCTATGTTCATCTTGCAAAGTACAAGACATTCATTTCTTTTAAAACTTCTTAAACAGTAAGAAAAGCATTTCCAAAGAAAATCACCCTAGATGGACTAGCACTACACTATTTCAGTAATTCAGGATCTATACAGCAGTTCCAATTTACTGCCTGTTGGAACAAGCAAAAAAAAAAAAAAATATATATATATATATATATAAAATAAACCTTTTACATACATATATATGGTTTAAGATATATTTTTAAAATGCACATGTCCACAAACTGGTGCGTACTGTGATGAAACTCCCTATTTTAATCCCTACTTTAAAAAGGTGCCTGGTGGGCATAGCAGTTCAGAGAAGACCACTGAGAACGACTGGAATCTTGTCTAATATTTAAGGTGTTTTGATCCAAAAACTTCACTGGGCATTAAAGGGTAACTCAATTTCTGTTACCTCCTACAATCTGAGAAAAGCCTTTATCCAGCACGCATGACGCAAATTATTTTTCAATACATACTCATCTTTAGGGTAATAATGTAAAACCAGGGAGAGAGACCAATTATGCTGAAAAAAAAAACATGCTATTTTTGAAAGTGTATCCAACTCCTTTTCACTACTTAGCAGTACCAGTCACACTCCCACAAGCCTTTGGCAGATGAAAGGTAAGACAACTTCACACAGCTTGACAGTGTTAACCCTGTTATTACCTTCATCAGTACAGCTACACACAAATTACTTCGTATTACACTCTTACGCAGACTATTAATCACATTGTCTTGGCATATGGTTAGAGCAGCAGTTTAGCTCCTATCTGTCATCACCACAAGGAAAACGTTCCAATTTCAGGGAAGTCTCCAAAGAGTACAAGTAGTTATGTTTGTTACAGCAGTTTCCAAGCTTTTCAGAAGCAACCAGTACAGAGGTGAATTCCTGTTGGGCTTGTGATTACTGTGATCCCTACTCGGGGTCACAAGCCTTGCTATGCTATTTAATCCCTTGTCCACATTACCTTCTGGTATCACATTACGCTGCTCCCTCCTGACTTTCTTTGTACCTTCCTTTTCTTCCCACACCAAACTTTCAATTTCTTTGTAAAGAAAAATGAGAATGAGTTCAGCCATAAAAAATAAAAAAGCATAGAAAATAAGAGGATTCGAAAATCTGCATAAATACTTCATTAAAATAGTAGTGATTGCTTTTGGCATTACCTCTTCCACACTTTTGTATTCACATGAGTATATTTACTATAAAATGATGTTTCCAAAGCGGCAAGTGGCTGTTTAGGCACCCTACAGCCAATGGACCACAAAACTTTTGAAATACCCTTTTGCACTCTAATTGTTGGAAACCTTAACCCTCTGAAGACTATACCCAAATTCAATTTGTTTGGGTTTTCAGTTTGATTTTTTTGTTTTGTTTTTCAATAGGTGGATTACAGTAGTAGTATTCATAACACTTGTATTTTTAATTCCTGCAGTCACATTCAGCTTTCGCCAATCTTTCATTATCCACAGGTAAGCGCAACATGAAAAGGCTGTATCCGTCCCTTTGTTTAGGGGTTAAAAACCAGGATCACTAACGAGTTGAGTCATCTGCCAAAGAAGAGCCTGAGCCACAAGGGCAGTGCTTGCTCCAGAACTCGCCACCTGCCCGTGCTGGGGGGATGAGACGGCTCCTGCTTGTTTTCTCCCTGACTTGAACTCGGTGACACGGAATGGGCCAGCAGCAGCATCTCTTGGAGGTTTTGATTTCATACAGGGGTGCCTACCTAGCTCGGTTTCGACGTGGGTTGAATTAACACCTCGTTATTCTTTACTGCTTGTTTTCTTTGGAGCTTTCACGTGCCGACAACGCCACGGTTGCTCAACACGCTTGGCTGTTTCACCCGCAGTTAAGCTCATATTTTGTCTGTTCCTCCCTCATTAGCGACAGCAATAAAGTCGCCCAGCCCTCTCCAGCGCTCTGTGCCATCAAATTATCGCTCGTTATTTCCTCCTAATTGCACAGGCAGCGCCCCACGCCGATAGTTAGACACGGCGCTCACAGCATCCCTGCAACACCCCTGCCCTCACGGCACGGATTCCTCACCTCCTGGGACAGATCACCCCTGGCTGGCTCCAGCCAGCTCCTGGGAGAGTTAACACGGAAAATTCCCTGTGATAAAGGGGAAATACCCCTCACAGAGGATCACACGAAGCCGTCGTGCCGAGCTGCCCCCTGCCCCTGCCGGGGCGCCCCCCGGCCCCGCCTCCCGCCGCCAAGATGGACGGACACCATCTTCCGCCGGGAAACAAAGCCACCCCCCGCCGGCAGGCGCGGCACTCGGCGAGCCAACTTGAGGAACTTTACCCCAAGATTCATTACTTTTTTTTAACAAAGAGAGTGAACAGCGGAGGCGCCCGCTCCCGGCGGGACAGCAGGGGGGGAAAACTTTGCGAGCGCTCCCTGCCCCGGCTGCCCCCCGGCGCTGGCCCCGCTCCAGCGAGCCCGTCTAACGAGTCGGGCCCAGCAAGAAAATCTGGAAAGAGGGAGAAAAAAAAATAAAAGAAAGAAATCCACCAAAAAAAAAAAAAAAAAAGGGAAGAAAAGCAGAAGGGGGAGGGGAAGTCCGAGGAGGGGTAAGCGGGGGCAGGGTCTCCTCCTCCCGCAGCGCCGCGGGCTCCATTTCTCCATTTTCTGCCCCTTTCTCCAACTTTCCCCCGAACCGGGCCCCCCCGCGCCCTCCCGGCACTCACCGGCATCATCTTGGAGCCGAACCGCATGGGGGCGGCCGGTGCCGGCCCCGCCGCTCGGAGCGGGAGACCGCCGAGCTGGGAGCCCTGGGGCCTGCGCTGCTGCTGCCGCTGCTGCTGCTGCCGCCGGGACCCGCGGGGGGGGGAACCTGTTGCGGGGCCGCCCTGCCCGGCCGCTCCTCCGCTTTGTTCCGCCCCCGGCTCCGCTCCGAAGCGAGCCCCGAGCCGGCGAGGAGGAGCCGCGGCGCCGTGCAGCGCCCCGCCCGCCTCCGGGAGGGGCCCAAAGTGCGGGGAGCCCGCGGGGGGTCCCGGGGGGAGCCCGTGAGCGCTGGAGGGGCTCCGGGGGTGGGGGGGAGAAGTTGGGGTCCGCGGGGCGCCGTGCGGGGGGCTCGCGGGGGCAGCGCCGGCAGGGAACGCGGCGCCGGCTGCTCCTCCTCCCGGGGTGAAACCTGCCCCGTAACTCGACGGGGCGGGGGAGGGCCAGAAGTTGCCGGGAGAGCGCAGAACAGAGCCCAGGCGGAATCTGTATAAGCGTTTATTTCATAACAGCGTTAACACCGGGCGCCCCGGAGCCGGCCGCACGGCGGCAGCGGGGCCCCGCTCCTCAGCGGCCAGAGCCCAGCGGGCGGCCCCGGCCCCCTCTCTCCCCGCCCGGCCCCGCTGCCAGCGCCGGCCAATGAGGCGGCGCCGCCCGGTCCATGACATCACCTCCCCCGCCGCTGATTGGGCGCCGCGGACACCCGCCCCGCGCCGGCTGGCGGACGGAGCCCCCAGGGGCGCGCGTGGTCCTGCCGCGGGGCCGGGCCGCGGGGCCAGCGGCGGGCAGGGGAGTGCGGGTAAAACGGGGTCACAGCCACCGGGAGGAGGGGAGAGAAAAGGAGAGAAGAGAAAAAAAGAGAGAAAATAAAAGAGGAAAGAGAGAAAAGAAAGAAACGGAAAAAAGAAGAGGGAAAAAAAGAAAAAGAAAAAAAAAAGAAAAGAAAATAAAAGAAGGGAAAAGAAAGAAGGGGAGGAGAGAAAAGAAAGGAGAGAAAAGAAAAGAGAAGATAGGAGAGAAAAGAAAGAAGGGAAAAGCAAAAGGAGAGAATAGAAAGGAGAGAAAAGCAAAAGGAAAGAAAAGAAAGGAGGGAAAAGCAAAAGGAGAGAAAAGAAAGGAAAAAGGAGAGAAAAGAACAGATAAAATAGAAAGAAAGGGAAATAAAAAAGGGAATGGGAAGGGAAAGAGGAAGGGGAAGGGAAAGATATACCAGAATCATTCTTTTTCTCTCTGTGAGTGATCTACTTGGTCTGAACTGCAGCAGCCTGCAAAAGCAGGAAGGTGTTACAAGCAATAGTTGTAGTGATGGTAAGTAGAAATCATCGGCATTTCTTGCCCTTAGTCTTTTCATTTGATGGATCTAGGTGGGAGGCTGGGAGACACTACTGTATTTCATGCCTTCACCACGCGACTCCAAACCTTCAGTTAATTTTCTCAGAGCAGTGTCTAAGCAATTTCCACAGCAACTTCTCACACTCTTTTCTTCTTCAGTGTGCCTAAAACTGTCTCCAGACCAGTCTTCTTTTACAGTCCCTGACACGACTATGAGAAGTATCAAACAGCAGACATCAGACAACATCTCTTTGTAATATCTTGTCATCATTTACAATATCTTATAAACTTTTTTATTATATTTATTTTCATATGTTGTGCCCGTCAGTGGTTTATATTGCTATAACCTCTTGAATTCTTCAGGAAAAAGGCGGTGAACCTGTTTCTAACACTGTTTCTATGACGGTAATTTGATAAAGAGTTTGTCAGAAGTCAACACAACATCAATGCAACAGGAGGAGGAGGTCAACCGCTTCAGCTTTGCTACCCATTGCCACCTACCGTTGAAATCGCACCATATCGAACTTCAGAGCTTTCATTTCTGAAGGATAAAGCTTAAGGCTACAGAAAGAAGGGAAAGCTTCTAAAATAAGAAAGCTGGGAGAAGAAGAGAGCAAGGCAAGAGAATTGCTCACCAGAACTCAACGAGCTGGGACACAGCAGTCTTCAGAACATCAACACTAACCATAAACCAACAGCTAACCCCAAACCCAACACCAACTCTAATCCTAACCCTAACCATAATGACTTTAATCTTAACCCTAACACAAAATGAACCTACCCCTAATGCCTAACACTAACCCTACAAACTAATACTAACCCCTAAGCCTAAACTAACCCCAAACCCAACACCTAACCCTAAACCCTAGCCTTAACACTTAACACTAACAAGACTAACCCTAACTCCTAATGCCTAGGAATAACCAGAATCCAGTCATAATCCAAACCCTAACCCTAGCCTTAGCCCTAATGCTAACCATAAACCCTAACTCTTAACCTAATACTAACCAGAAACCATAACCTTGTCTCTGACACTAACGAATCCTAAACCAAACCAAAGTCATAACACTAACACCTAACGCTAACCCTAACCATAACCCTAACTCTAACCCCTATACCCAACACCTAACCCTAACAATAACACCTAACCTAAGCCCCTAAATCTAAACCCTAACACTGACCATAACCCTGACCCTAACACCTAACCCTAAAGGCCCTAACCATAACCCTAAACCTAATCCTAACCTTAAAAAAAAACTAACCCTAAAAATAAACTTAAGCATAACCCTGACCCAAACTCTACCTAAATAATAATGAGAAACATAACCTCAAAACAAATCTGCTACTTAATCCTAGCCTTAAGATAAAACATAATTATAAAAGTGTAAATATAAAACTAAACCTAAACCTAGCCCTAAAATTAACTCTATGTCCAAACCCTGGTCCTAGCCCTAACACTACTCCTAGACATAGATCTAACACTACCTCTAATCCTAACTCCATCCTGACACTAACCCTAACCGTAACCCTAAGCCAAACCCTAAACCAAACTTTAAACACAACCCTAAACCTAGCTCTATCTGTAGCCCTAAATCTTAGCTTTAACTACAATCCTTTCACTAAAAAAAAAATTAAACCTAAGCAAAACATAAATATAAACCTAATGCTAAACCTAATACTAAACATAATCCTAAAACTAAACCCTACTCCTAGCCCTAACACCACTTCTACCAGTAATCCTAACCCTAATAATAATACTAACCCTAAAACAAGCCACTACACCAAAACATAACCAAAACCCTAACACTAGCAATAAACCTAACCTTAACCCTAAAGCAAATGCTAGCCCCCCCCCCAAAAAAAAAAAAACAATATTCAAAACCTGAACTCTGACCATAGACACAGCAAATCCTAACTCTAAACTAAAAACAAAACCTAGCCGAAACCATACACCAAAACCTACTTCTAACCCTAGGACTAACACTAACCATGACCCTAACACGAATACCTAACTTTAACTCTAACCCTAACTCTAAACAAAACCCTGAACTTATCCCTAACTCTAACCCTAACTTTAACTCTGAGACAAACGAACACATAACCCTAACCAAAAAACTTGCCCTAGCCCTAACCCTAACCTTAGCCCCCTAACCCTAAATCTATCTGTTATATAAATATACCCTAACTCTAACCTTAATCCTACTGACCATAAACTAATGATAAAAGCTAAGAGTAACCCCAACCCTAAGGCTAACCCTTATGCTAGCAGTCACCATTACAACTAACCTTAATGACACAACCATAGCCCTAACCTCTAATCCTAACACCTAATTTCTAGTCCTAACTCTAAAACCTAATGCTAAATTCTAATTTTAACCCTAACCATAGCCCTAACCATACTCCTTACATTAACCCTAACATTTACACCAGTAAATCCACAGCCTCTCTGGCATGCATCTCGAGGTTGGGCAAGCCTTTTGTGGCCAAGGTCCTGTGCTACCAGACACCCTCTGGAACTTCACCAGCAGCTGTATTGCCCTTGTTCCTGAATAGGTAGGTTCCTAGGCCGGCTGCTACACCAGACCAAGCAAGCAGCACTGTGCAAGCACATCCAGGCTTCTCTTTCTCTGCAGCACATATCACTTTTGAGTACAGTTGTCCCTGAGTGCAGCTGATGAGCCAGTGCTGAGCAATCAGCTATGTGAGAGTCCCCAAGCAAGTCTTCAAAAAGGGCAAGAACCCAGGCAAGACCAGTCAGCCTCACCCCCATCCCTGGAAAGGTGATGGACCAGCTCATACTGGAGGTCATCATCAAGAAGGTGATCAGGAATAGTCAGCATGGATTCACCAGGGGGAAATCACGTTTAACCAATCTGATATCCTTCTGTGATGAGGTGACTGGCTGGGTAGTACATAATTCTGCAGCCCTCTTTCAGGGAAGGCTCTTTGACTCCAAGAAAATAGAAAGGTTATTTGCCTGAAAGCTTGTCTTTTTTATCCCTTAAGTACATCAGCTTCCCTAATAAATGTATTTCATGTCTACAAACCCTGACTCTCTTGTGGAGCTGAAAACACTTTTTTGTTCTTTTTTATTTAAAATAGAAAACTATAAAAAAAAGCCTGACTGTGCAACATGCCTAGCCCACAAAAGCTACTCAAGATCATACGGTCCCCATACTTTTAGCTGAGAAAATCTACAGAGAATGTGTTTTCTTTCATCCTCACTCTTCTTTTCAACTTCATTGCATGATTACTATCAGATACCTTATGTATGGTATTACAAATAAATCACGAGGCAGATGTAGATTGTAGAGGTGGTTACTCAACCAGCTTTTTATACAACATACGGCAATACTGGGCCTGAAACTAGTTAATCTATAAAGCATCTATTTAAATATTTATACTGATTTGACGGAACTCATATTACATTCATATATGAAGCTGTAACTCCAAATGATTGAATTATAGTTACCTTTTACTGGATCAAAAGTTTTAGTTGCAAAACATGAATCTGTGCAAATTTACACTCTGGCATACACTTGTTAAAAACAATTTAAAAGGAAAGTTCAGTGTGGTTTCTTTTTTATTTTTTTTTTTAGTTCAGGCTCAAAAGTCACAGTTTCTGGATATGCCCAGATGTAACTGTTCTCCTTTATAAGCCAGCCAGGCCCTGTGTTTTGTCTGAGCCTTGGACTTTACTCCGCCTCAGTATCCAGCAGCCTGAATTAAAATATGACTTTTCAAATATAACAGTCTGCTTTCAAATTTAGCACCTCTTAAAAAAGTAAGATTCATAAAGTGAGCAAACTGCTGACGCCCCAGAAAAGAAAACCTGCCTTGTGGGAAGGCATTTTCTATTTTTCTATTGATTACCCTAACTTGATAAAACAAATCTGTTCTCCTCCCACACAACTTCTGCTCTAAGCCTTGATGTCTGAGCACATTACTCCTCTTTGCTCCTATATTCCCCATTAACATCCCTGTTCTTGACCTAGCTGCACACCTTCCTTCAACCTCAGCTCCTGCTACTAGAATTCTTTCCTTTACTGTTGTCTTCCCAGATGTCCACTTCTTAGCTCCTGCTTCTCACTCTCTTTTTCCCCTTCACTGAATTCCTCCCCTTTTTTCACATTTGATATTTACAACTTCCCTTGTATTTCAGGTAGGCTCCCTCCACTTCCCCATGCCTCTTGGCAATGCTTTCTGCCACACAGAGCACAAAGAAAATATTCTATGTAGGTAAAATATTCTATGTAGGTTCAGTAAAATTTCACAGTCCCTGCTGTTCTGAACAGACCATACTCAGATCAGTTGGGAGCACAATAAACATGGTTTTATAAGGATGTAGTAAGCTGCAAGAGGCTGAACCTGTTCAGGGTATATATGCCTAAAAATTTCTCCAACAAATACTTAGAAAACTAATGAGATTTGACAAAGACTTCTGAGTACAGAAATGTACAGATTATTACAAAGAAAGCAAAATACATACTCTTGGCCCAAGTGGCCTTTCCTTTAAATCTCATATTCCTAGTACAAAGTACAGAGGCATCTTTAAAGGGGCAAAGTAATATATTCCCCCTAACATCTTTCTTGTGAGTCACTGAAATGTTCCCCTCAAAACTTGGTCCAAGTATATTTATCATTATAACATGGTATAATCAGAACTAAGGTTATTTCAAGATTTTTAAAAGTCTTACAAGCACTGCAGAAACCTAAAGGAGCAGCAACCCAAATAAAGGTATGTATCCTGCTGTAACTACAGATACTGTCTACAGAGATTGCATGTTACTTCATATGCAATGGAATTTACATAACACAATATCATCCCTTTCAGGGACTATTAAAGTTATCTGGCTTCACCCTATCCCATAGTAACTGCAAAGATAAGGGACAAGTGAATCTGTGACAAGGATTTTGTGAAAGTATGTGTGGTGTGCATTTCTGCAAATTAAGACAGTGATGTACGCTCAGAAAAATTATACAAGATACCTCATACAATTATGTGAATCAAAACCTGGAAGACAGCAGAATTATCTTACGTGCTGAGACAGACTTACTAAACAAAAAGTCATTTATGTAGTTGTAGCTAATAATGTAAAACATGTAGTTTATACCATTAATACACTATACTTACTAACATAATAAACATATAGAAAATGAAGTTTATATATTATTAAACATAACATCAAACATAAAGGAGTACCTCAAAATCTCAAATTTCTCAAATTACAGGACAAAACAAAAAGCATTCTTGAAACTATTTTAAATTATATATGCTTAAGAAGAGGGAGAAAAACACTTGCTTTTAAAATATTAATGGACTGCCAGCACAAACTTCCTGTGCCAAGTCACAAGTTTATTAAGAATTCTCCTAAGTGTGTTTTAAACTGCTGAGTATGCATATGAAAGGAGATCAGGTCCTAAAACTACAGCCATTAAAAAAAAAAAAAACTTGTTCTAAGATAGCCAGTTTTACAGCAGCATTGACAAGTTGGGGTGGGGGAAAGAGGAAAAACATTTCCAAATACATACATGGCACAAATTGTTTTGCTTCAAAAAAGGAAATACCAAGTGTACATTTTTGGAGTGCCATTAGGATGACACACATAAAGGCTTGCCCTTGCGTTTCCCCTGCTTCCAAGTTATTTTTTTTTTTTTTTAAGTGAATTTCTTTCTTATAAGAGAGAGGTTCCAGGTGGGTTTCTGAGGAAAGATGAAAGTTGCAAATAAAAAAGGTCACAATTAAAATTCAAGAAGAAGAAGCCTAGTTAAAAAAAGTGTAGGGATGCAGGGGTGCTCCAGGCAGATAGTGCTTTAGTTCTGTAACAATTAAAGCTGTTCTACCTTGTAGTACAGTTACTGTAATGAGCAGTCCCACTCGCCACGAACATTTTATGACTTTTTCCCATATGCTTTTCTACTGTCACTTCCAGCATTCATACAGTGATTTTTTTTTGTTAAGTCAGTTTTAAGGAGCACCAGTTTCCTAATGAAATGTGCATGCTCAACACTACTGACATGAAAAAGGAAAACACCAAACAACAGCAGCTGAAGGAAAAGAGGAGACTGGCACTGTACTTTTCAACAGTTGGGCCTTGTTCTGTTACAAAAACGGTTGTGAAGCCATGGTGCAAGTGCCCATGACCATACTTGGAATTATCTAGGAATATTCTAGAAACAGCCCTTGGTCCCATCCCTTTGCTGCTCCAGATACAGCTATTATGACCAAGAAACCTCACTAATATCTACATAACTCTTACGCTGGTAAGAGTTACGTAGTTGCACCTCACTTAGGAGGTGCAGACATGTTTCTCCATACTGTAGCTCACTCTGGAATTCTATCTCATTGTACCGGGCTGCAGCTTTGCCTGTGCAGCTGCTGCTATTCCTATAGTGCTGGAGGAGCCTTGTTGGCTTCTTGCTCAACAGCAACTAGGTCTCCTTGCAGCTGTTACATCCTTGGAGGCCCTTCTTATACAGTTCCCATAGCGTCCTTGACCGCCTTACTCTTGCTTCTGCTCCTCTGTAGAGTGAAAAAATAAAAAACACCAAAACCTGTAGCTTTATGACTGGTGTAAGACTAACAAGGGCAAAAAACAAACACAAACAGGGTCGTGCTGCTGGTTTATTGAGCTCAGCGTGCCACCTCCAACTGCAGTGGCTGCGTTACATGCCAGGTGTGAGGGACCCACCAGACACACAGTGTTATTTCCCAGCGCTTCCACACACCGTTATCAAACTGTCCTTTAAAAGCAAACAATTTGTACTTTTACCCTCCACCACACTGGCTGACACGGGCTGTCCTGCTTCCAGGGCACGCTATGCTTAAGACTGCTCCCAGTTATTCACTTGTGGTGCATGTCCCATCACTTCAGGGCAGCTCCAAGCAGCCCCCACCACACCCGTGCCACTACAGGCCCCCTTCCACAGCGGCCCCACGGGGGGTCTCAGTGCCCGGCCGCGCCTTTTTTCCCCATTTCCCCTCCTGATCCCCCGGGACGCTGCATACAGCCCCCCTCCCTCCACCCCTGCCCACCGCCCTCTGCCGCCCCTCAGCGGCAGGGCGGGCAGGGCGGGCGGAAGCGGCGTCATCGGAAGCCCCGCGCTCCTCCCCCGGCGGAGGCAGGCCGGGCTGCAAGATGGCGGCGGCGGAGGAGCGGCTCCTGTCGGAGGGGGACGGCGGCGCCCTGTGCGCGGCGCGGCTCTCCCCGACCCCGCTCCCGCCGGCTCCCGAGGCCCCGGCGCTGCTGGAGCAGCCCCCGCAGAGCAACACGCTGATGGGGCTGCCCATCGTGGCCATCGAGAGCATCCTCAGCTTCCTGTCCTACGACGAGACCAGCCAGCTCCGCCTGGTAGGGGCCGGGCCGTGGGGGGGGGGGGCCCTGTGGCGGCCGGGCCCCGTGCCCGGGGGTGTGGAGGGGCCGGGATGGGGCGGGAGGGTTTTTAATTTCTTACGGTGCCCGCCGCTTTGTGGCATCACGGGGGGCGTGGTGGTGGAGGGGGCAGCGCCTCGCGTCCCGCCTGGGGGGTTCTTTCTGCTCGGGGGGGGGAGGCCCTAGGGGTGCAGGGGGTCGCAGCCCCGCCTGTGGGGCGCGGAGCGGAGCCCTGCAGGCCCGAGGGGCCGCCTGCTGCTCGCCTCCGTGCTGGCGGGTCGAAGAAAAGGTGCTGCCTGCGCTGGCAAGCATCGTCATATCAAAAAAAATAACAGCTCACGTGTCAGCGAGGAGATCGGCGTTTAGCAGTCTTGAACAGCCTGCGTGGAGCCTCGTGTAAACCCTGGTCGTGATGTGAGCATAACGGGAGCGGCTGCTGCCCTGCTCCATTTCTGAGGAGATCGTCAACGGAAACACAGCAATGGAACTAACATGGGGCATGTGTCGCCCTCGGTGAACTTGCCTGTGCTGCTGCTATTTTAAGAACTCATTAGCTTAAACTAGGTAGTGTTACAAGCACATTTCTGCAGAGAATTGGGCTCTGCTTGTCCTTGATCAGCAACCTGAAGCATGGCAAGCTGACTCTACCTTTAAACTGAAAGCTCTTCAAGCAGAAACTCTGTTTTTATTTGGACTGCGCCTAACACGCTGTGCCTAAATATTTCTAGCATGCTGTCAGCCTAGTAATCTCAGAAGGCTTTTGCTTCTTCTCTAAGAGTAGGTAGGGGATTTGTGGAAAAATACTTAGTACAGCTTTTTTTGGATTGCAGCCTTTACAGCTTGGATGACAAGAAGTCTGTGTGCTGTTTGGGTGTGCTTAGTGCTGTATGGTCTGTATTGCCACACTGGGCACTGTTCACTGCAGTTTTCCCATTGCATTTTATAAATGGTAGCTGTGAGAACTGTCACTAGTCAGTAGGAGGATTTTTCGTCTCGCAAGGCTAACTTAGTGTTTGTAAGCAATGCTTTGTCAGCAGGGAAATTCAGAATAGGAAAAACGCTGGTGTAAGGGATAAAAGAGCTGTTTAACTCTTTGTGCTTCTTAACAAGTGAAACACCTCTGTCATGTAACACAAGTCCGTTGTTCAAGAAGACTGTCATTTGCAGAAGCTTTAGAAATGGCAAAACCAGACTGGATAAGTATCGACTTAGACACACATGGAACAATACTAGATGTAAAACGAAGGAAACTATTCAGTTGATCTTCCCCTCTTTTTATTTTTGAGTGACAGCCAAGAAACTTAATTTGCATCACATTCCATATTTTACCCTTAAGACACATCAGAAAATGTGAGAATTATTCTGAGATGAATGTACACTTGCCCTCGCTAATCAGCACTAATGTCAAGAATCACCTTCTGTCAAGAAACCCTTCTTTGACCCAGGCAAAAGTGTGGCTCATAAGCACGTCTACTTGGATCAGCTAGGTCTTCTGGTTTGCCACGCAGAACTAAAAGTGTTCTTATGGCAATTCATGCAAGTTAAAAGTGTGCCCCAAAATGGACTCCTTATTGCATGTAATGCCACATTGCAAGGGGTTGAAATACCTTGGAGAAGGTAGGAAGACGTGATCCAGGACATAATTGACCTAAATAAAGCTTGATCATACATATATTTGGCAGTAAGCATGGGTTCCCTAAACAGATCAATTTGAATGCATTTTCTGGGGCTCAGCGTTGAAGAAAATGGATGTCCTAATCCTTCTCTTTGTGGATCATCTTAGTGATCATCTTGACAGATGCAAACAAAGTCTTTTGAGTTGAATGGGTGTTGAAGCTAGTGCGTGCGCTAGACTAAGGAGTTGGCTGGGTGGGAGGGGACAGAACACCAGCAAGTTTTCAGATTAAAATAGAGACGAGAACCTGCATTGTTTATGTAGAGTGCAATGAGGTGTATAATCTAAGGCTTAGGATATGTAAGTCTGTTTCAGAGACTGAAGAATGAGGTAAAGGATGTTTCCTGCTTATGATTACCATTGGGCAAAGCAAGAGCATGGGCCTGCCCGTGTAAGAAGAAGCACCTGTTATACTTAACACAATGCCTTCTGCAATGCCTGATGTCACAGCATTTTAAAGCATAAATGAGGTACCTAACTGGTTAAACAGAGGAGTAGAGCTAGACTAGTGGAGACTAAACGAGTAGGTATTCAGAATGCAGTCGTGTCTGAAATTATGCCTTAATGCAAATCTTGAGGTATCAAACTTCTGTTCGGAGAAAGTGAATGAGAAGCAAAGGAGCAGCATTTTACTTTCTGACATTTTGAATATTTACTTAACCTACTTCCTTTGATCTCTTGTCATAAGAGGAATGCAGAAGCCCCAAAGATCATTATGGCTGAAGCTGTAATGCTCAGGAGGAGGTAAAGCCAAGTATGCAGGCTGATGTGGAAGCCAGCGTGCCTTCCAGCTTTTGAATGGTTATTTCACTGTAATATTTTTTAATGTCTGTACAGAAGCTTTAGAATTTTGACCATGTTTTTGAGATGGCAGAGCAGTTCTGAGACAACAAGATTATTGGAAGGCGGTCAGAAAAGCAAGTAATGCACGGTTATTCAGGTCATAAGCATGACAGGGGAACACTCTTGCTCTATTCTGTAGGAAGCCTTATATGCTGTGGATAGGAGAATGGCTGTAGGTTTTCATTCATGCTTTGGCATCATCCTGGAACAAATCATTTTACTGAATTATGCCTTATTCATGTTATGCCATATTCACGTAAGTTAGGCCTCCACCTAGCCAAATAAAATGGAGCAAAATGTAAAATGGAGTCAATACTGCCTTCTGTAAAGCACTTTGAATTCTACTGATAAATGTATGTGTGTGATTTCTTTCTATTAAATAGGGTGACATCATGTTTGGAAGAAACACTCCTCATTTTGAGATGAAACACTTGAAATGCTCGTTCTAGAGAAGGATGATCGGTTTTGAGCATGGATACCATATAACAGTTTACAACGGTGGTGATACTGCGATGAACTTTGATCAGTTGACCTGAAACAGTAGAATGGGCTTGTGCTGCTTTGTTATCTTTAAAGATGCAGTCAGCTAAGAGGATGAGAGGTGGATGCTTCCAAAGTGGGGTAATAACGAAATCCTTAGTCTGAGCTTGGAAATAGCACTTCCATTCAGGCTGTTACTACAGTGAGCATGACAGAAAACAAACACTCCGTGATTAAAAACAATCTATAAACTCCTCCTATGAAGATAAGGTTATCATGGATTCTGAGACACATCGTAAGTGTCTTAAATTCTCCAGCCAACCCGCATTACTGTTCTGCAGAGCACAAATGAGGATGGACATCCTTTGGACGGCACAGCTTTAATCTTCACACAGTTTCAGTAAATCTGTATTTACAGGCATTTCTATTTTAGGTTTCTTGTTGAAGTCATTAGCATTTTGTTGCTCTACTCCTTCTTCAACTTAGGAAGGCATTATGAAATAAGGGTCTGTGTAGCCTCTAAATACTTAATAAGTACAGCACGTAATGAATCTAAATAATTTAGTTTACTTTTTTGCTTTCTGTTTTGGCAGTGGTCATCTGTTAGTGAAGCTGGGAAGAAGTAGGACATGCTTGAGGAAAGGGAAGATGGTAGTCCTCTACTAGATTGTGTCAGTTTGGTCACAAATAAAGTGGAAAATCAGTTCTTTTATAGAACTTGTTATTGGATGCAAGTCACCATGCTGAGAAGCAGCTGCATTCTCATTCTGGATTTTGTGTGGACCTTGGAACAACTTTTTAACACTGGAATTTGAACACAGTATTCTAGTTGGACCTGACATTTGAGGAAGCTTGTACTGTTATAATTTTATGGCTAGAATAAGAAAATATTCCAAAAATTGGCAAAAACAAATTGAGCAAATTTGAACTTTGTAATTTCTTACAGTCTATTGACATGGCCTGTAGCTGTCTTGGACCAGCGTGATAATGCTGCTTTATATAGGACTGCTAACTATGCAGTCTAAAAAATGTATTGTTCTTACAGCTTCAGATGCCGTGTTTTTAAATGGTGCGATCAAGAACCAGCTGAGAGCTAAGAGGTGACTGGTAAAATAAGATGCAAAAGCTTCTGTTTTCTGGTGGTATCTGCTTAGTCTCTTAGGGCTCTAGTCTGTTTATATGACAAATACGGGCGGTGTCCAGAAACTGGAGCAAAGAATTCTTCATGCTGAGAAGTGTAAGCAAATGAGGTAGATTGGAAAAGGCAATGTTTAAAAATCTAGTGCAGTTTGTGTTACCCATGGCAGCTTACCTGCTCGCTTGGATGTGGGAGAGCTTCAACGCAGTAAAAGGTACTTTCTGCCACCAGATGTCAGTATAAACATGATTGATATCTCTGCGCTTCTAAAGTTTGTCACTAATAATGTATCTAGGATTGCTTGTGTGTTGTGTTTGTTTTTTTTTCCTGCTGAGCAATTGCATAGGTAACGTAGCCCTTGTGAGAGTATTCATTCCTGTTTCAGTTGTTTGATGTCATTAGAACTAAATGTAAGCTGTGAAGTCTTATACTTTAAAATGGTGTCAGATCGAAGCATCACTAATGCAGTTAATATCTTAGAAGAAATGTGAGAATTTAATCCTTGCTGTAGTTGAAGGGCTAGCATTATGTTTCATCCACTGGAAATAATTTAGCTAATTCTAGTGAATGTGGGGGACGAATATACTGAGACTACCTCTGGAGTTAGCCTGACTGGTTATCCTCCTTCAGCTACTCACAAGGAAGATCTAATGTGAAGGAACATGGACAGACTGACAACCGTTACTTAATGTCTCAAAGACAAATGTGTTTGAGAAGAGTCATTGCTTACTCAGAGAACTTAGACTAGCTGTGACTAGAGAAATTCTCTTTGGTTAAGAGAAAGCAGAACTTCTCTAAGTAGTACCTTCCATAGAAGCAAAAAATAATCGGTGGCTTTTCTAGAAGTGAGAACCTTCTTTCTCAAGATACAAACTGTGTAGATTTCAAAGTTATGAAATGAGTACTGGATGGAGAGCAAGGAGTGTTTGTGTAAATAAATTAAAAAAAAAAAAAGAGCAAAGCTGTTCAGTTGGAAAGTGGGGTCACACTTGGAGTTGTGCAGTTTCATGGAAAAAAGAAACAGTTTGAAAGGGCAGCTGGTTAACCAATCTCTTGCATCATCAGAGCTGTGAATTGCAAATACTTCAGACTTTTGTACACATCGGCTTTGTCTCGTGACTGGTTACTTTTTAAGGTTTAAATGTAGTAGCTGGTTATGCCATCTGCAGCTATTAATGCCCTTTCTCCCTAAAGCTGTGAAAAAAATGAGGCTATCAGTATGCAACATAGCCAATAAGGGAATCTCTTAAATAGAGAGGACTTGTATACAAAACGGAGTCTTGCTTCATGTGCACTGTAGTGCTTAACTCTTTAATTTTGCCTGTCTCCAAAACCTAAGTGCTAAATGTTGAAGGAAAAAACAGACTTTATTGGTTTTAAGGCATCTTTTTGAGACAACAAAATATTAACTTTATCTATCAAAATCACTCTGGAGAACAAGTTAGAATCTAGATACAGGCATTTGCAATTTTGATTATTATCAGAGGGAAATCATGTCTAGTTATATACGGGTGGAACTTGGACTACTGTCACTTGTTAGGTAGTATCAGAAGATTCGTTTATTAACTGTGGAATGGAGCTGCTCCTTTATGGGGTATCATGGTCACTGTTAGAGATGGTGATACATTAAGCTGCACTGCAGTTTCTGTGTCTTGAAATGGAAGAAAGAGAATCTTGTACTGCTCAGCAAGTATGGATAAGATAAAAGTGACTTGTGGTATTATTTGAAACTTAAGGGGTGTCTTGTGTGTGTGTTCTGTTTTACTTAAATACAGGTTTGTAAACGAATGGACTTGGTTTGCCAGCGAATGCTGAATCAGGGATTTCTAAAAGTGGAGAGATACCACAACTTGTGTCAAAAGCAAGTTAAAGCTCAGCTTCCAAGGTATGTACCAGTTAAAACTGTAGCTAAACCTCAGAGTGCTAAATTCTTTTCAGCATAATGCTAAAAAGGAATTTCTTGCTGGCTAATTCAGCTTAAATATCTTGAAAATTTGAATGTTTTTTCCTTTTTTTTTTCCAAACCACCATAAACCTAATATCTAGTAACAAAATAATGTTGTGCGTGAACGTAACTTGTGGTATACAGTCCTAGGAGCTGGAATATTGGAAAATGTGTCATAGAAAAGAAGGGCTATATATTACTCAACCCTTCTGGCAAAGCCAGGAGGGGCTCTTAGGAATGGATAAATGCCATTCTTTTACAAGACAAACTGCCTTTGGTGGTGATTTGTATGTGACTGATTAAAAAAAGCAAGTTTCTTCAGTGCCAAGGATTAAACCGGGGAAAGGGAGGGGGGTTAATGTGTGAGCATTACTGGGAGCTTAAGGTTCTCACTAAGGCAGTGTCTTTTCTCCTCTTTCCAGAGAATAAGCGCAGTTGCTGCTGCTATGTCCTGTCAGGTTTCCCATTCAGGGTGAAGAAACTAAATGCTACTTACTGTTGTGATCCTTTCTCAAAAACTTGTACCTCAACTTATATTTTGTAACAAGCAGTAATATTGTATTAAATTTGTGTATTACATTGAGATACTAACTGTAGGCATATGCCAGGATAAAAATATGCACCATGACTCAGTGTCTACTGCTGAAAGCCTGTTCTTTGGGTCCTAAATTACATACAGAGTTTATGGATCATGTAAGATGTGGTAATTATTTAGAGAAAATACTGTCTTAAAAAAAGTGTACTAAATAATTACTAGCTGATTTTTAATCTATATCACTTTTTTTCCTATGCAGACAGAACAATGTTAGTGGTTGTTTTCAAGCCTCTAAAGGGTTTTAAGGATAAATGAGTGTTAGAGTTTTATTTTGTTGACTCACTGTTAAATTACTCTCACTTAATGGTCTGTCTTCTAGACGGGAGTCAGAAAGAAGAAACCATTCATTAGCTCGTCATGCAGACATCCTTGCTGCTGTAGAAACACGACTTTCTCTGTTAAATATGACTTTCATGAAGTATGTGGATTCCAATCTCTGCTGCTTCATACCTGGAAAGGTAAAATGTAGACTAAATTATGTGAATGTTTATGTTTTTACAAAACATGATCATGTAACTTAAATTTGTCCCGGCTGTCCCATGTTGTATAATGTATGTTCATACTAAAACTGTTTCTCATACTTAAAACACACAAGCCGATACTCTGCTATAGCAGTCAGTCTGAAATGAAAGAACCAGACTGTCTCAGTACTATTTTGAACTTGATTTATATTTTCCCTTAGGATTTTTATGAGAAACCAGGATACATAGGATTTAATTCTGAATTTTAACTGTACAAAACAGTTGGAGGCTAGGTCATCAGAGGATGTAATACCTTAGACCATGTATACACTAGGGACTTGGTCAATGAAGAAGACTGCAAGGACCTTTCTTAAGGGTCTGAGCACTTCAGGTTAATTAAATTAAGATACATAGTATGCAGAAACTCTGTTCATTGTGATAATGAATGAGTGTCTGTACATTAGATGGAATAAAAGTTTTAAGTGTAGATAAACTTTGTTAAATAATATTACTACTAAACAATTCTGGTGTTTCAGACTGCTACCCCAACAGAAAGTATAAATTATCCAAATGAGATGTATGGCAGTGATACCACTATTTTATAAGCTGTGAAAATGAAGGTATACAGAAGGAAACTGACAAAATCATGATCTGAGGAAGGCTGTTACAGCCTAGGGTTGAAACGAGATCTGTGAACATAAGCCTGATGTTCGATTCATTGATCTTTCTATGTGAGGTTAGGATCTGTTGATATAAATTTTTAAAGGGAAGAAAACTGAATCGCACTGGGACAAATGCGAGTTAGCTGTTGGGTTGAGATGAAGCATGGCAGGCATTGCTGCATTCAGTAAGCGGGATAGGCTATCTGCATGATTTTTTTTTTTAATCTTGAAGAGGTAATGATTTCTACACACAGTTGTTGCTTTGATACTAAAATGATTAGTTTATTATATTTACATTTATTTACATTTATATATACCGTATGTATATATATTTAAAAACACTGTAATTTAATAAAAGTCAAATAAACTTAAGGTCTTGGTACTCACATTCTTAATAGAACACATAAAAGAAATACTAGCCCTACTTTTTTGAGGGATAGACAGAAAGGCGATGCTCAAGCTAGACCTGGGGTGTGCAGGAGCTGTGCCAAATGAGCTTACCAGCTGTTTTCATTCTGGGCACTGAGTCATAAAGGCCTTGTTCATATTCTGATGTAACAGCTAAAGAGATTTTTATAAATTATTTACTTGGTATACAAGCCTGATGCTGCTGCTTTCTCTGCACAGTTATCAATTCACCAGAAAATCATGTTTTGGTCAAGCCTATTCAAGGCTTAGTGTTTACTTGATGTGTGTGGTTTCCCCAACCTGTCCTGTTTCCCTCAGGAAATTTCCATTTGAAAGAGGAATACAAAACTTTCAGGATGTTAATTTGTGTTAGAACATGTGAATATTCTGGTGAATAAAAGGTAGATAAAATTAGAGAAGTCTTTCGTAAGCTTGTTGCATGATGGCACATTTCAGTCATATCTAGGTTTTGCAACTTTTTAGCTAAGCTTCCTTTATTAAAACACAAGATCCAGCTGTGTTGTCTTAACGATGATTCTAAATTCTTATGATCTTAAGCCGTTCTTAATCATGTGCAAAATACCTGGCTCAGTAGTTTCTGTACTAAGAAGGCAGCACTCCTATCTGGACATCCTTAGACTATAATTCATTAGATCAGCAAGGCAACTTTCATCTCTCCTAAACAACAGGCTTGCTTTTCAAGCATATAAAGAAGGTGCTTATGGTCTCTGCTAGTTGTGGATTGTTATTTAATAAATTAATACATTGTGCATGTAATCTGAATTTGCAATGTTTTGGGATCGTGCAGCTGAATTCATGTAAATATATAGAGCTCTTCAGACCGACATGACTATAATTACTGCTATTCCATTCATATGTTTTATATGTCTCACGATTGGCTGTGGGAATGACTGCTCTGTTGCGTGGCTTCCAGTATCTTGCTTATCCAAAAATAAATCATTATGCTCTACTGAGCACATAAAACTCAAGTATGGATGCAGTAAAACAATTTCACACACAACGTGTTATTTCATGAATTTGAAGAGAGTTGTGATATCTCAAGTGCATGGTTTCTCTGGTGTATCACAAACAGGACTTTAGTTCTTTATCAGTGTTTTGAAATTAAGTACATCGTGATATGCAAGAGTAACAGTTATGTAGTAAAGTATGATACAAATAGCATATTTGATTTTGCATTGCTGTTGGTGCTGCAGAAGGTCCTGGAACTGGAATATGCCTGAATATGCCAACACTCTTAGAAAGATGTGAAATAATCTTCCTTTTATCAGAAAAAAATAAATATTCTTAAATGTTTTAGGTAATAGATGAAATTTACCGTGTGCTAAGATACGTAAACTCTACAAGAGCTCCTCAGAGAGCTCATGAAGTTCTCCAGGAACTAAGGGACATTTCTTCCATGGCTATGGAATATTTTGATGAGAAGATTGTTCCAATACTGAAAAGGAAGCTGCCTGGGTCAGATGTATCAGGACGTCTTATAGGAGCTGCCCCAGGTATTAATTCCAATGTGTAGTTGAGGTGTTTTTGTGTGTGTTTTGTTTGTTGTTTTTTTTTTTTTTTTTGGTGTGTGTATATGCAAAAACTCACAGCACTGTCTTTTTAAAGCTCCATCCCTTAAATAAGTGAGCTTTATCACATAAGTATTAATGATACTTGTTTCTTAAGAATGCCAACTGTGAAATTCATTTGCTTTGTAATTTAAGGAGGCTTTGTATTACCAAAAGAACGGTCACTTGAATGTATGTTATAATTATGCATAGTGTGTATGCGTTAAACAAACGCTTTTGTGCCACCAATGAATGAGACTTTCTTATTGCACTTGGTTGATATTTGGCACATGAGATAGCAACTCAAGATGCCTTTTATATTTAGTATGATCAGCAAATTAGCCTAAGATGTTATAGTGCATACAGAGCTAGAACATACTTGTATGTGCTTTTTTTCCACTTTGCCAGGGCACTAAGGCATATACTAACAAGCAAAACACTTGTGAATAATGCTGAAAAGGCAATTAAGATAAGTCTATAAATAAATAAGCTGTTTCTTTATATGACCTGTCAGAATTTCTGTAACTTTTGTCAAACAAAGTTTAACATAGTTATCCCATCTAATGGCCAGAAGCAAAAGTTTAGTAGAACTGCAGTGTTTTCCCTTTACTGAAGTTTGTCCCACACTGTTGGGTAACCTTAGGAACTGTGAAGTAAATTCTCTGAAAAGATAACTTAATAAATAAATAGACCCTAAGCAAAAATGATAGGCCTAACTGTAGGAGCTGCTTGTTGTTTCTGGTATGTTCTGTCAATCCTTTTAGCCATAATTGTGTATACCACCTCTTAATTAAATCCTCTTAATTATATCTCAGTTTCACTGAGTCTCTCAGCTGTGGGAGCAGTGCCCCAAACCTGTATCAATTGGTTCTCCAAACCCAAGGCTTTATGTGGCATAAACATGCCTACCTTGGGTTGAGGGAAGAAATAATCTACCTAATGGCAACCCTTTAGTGTCAACTAACCAAAACTATGCTGTCATCGTAAAGAAAAAAGAGGAGGAGGATGCCTGTTTAAGGCTGTTCCAGATTGTTCTGTCTTCGTAGTGCTTGAAAGTTGTATCTTACTTGTACTGCACTGATAGAAGAGGAAAATGATAGAAAAAGTGATCAATCCAATTTATGACAGGAAAAAAAATGAAAGAAATGATGCAGCAGCTGTCAGTGTCCTTGATTTGCAGGAATTTTACCAAAAACAACAAGCCCAAGCTCAAAACCCCATATAATTTTAGGGTTTAGGAAGAATAAGCATACAGCAATGTGGGGAAAAAATTCCCCTTCCTGAACAAAGGTAAAACTGAAATACCTTGTTAAAGCCTGAAACACAATTTTTTATATTTTAGCTGTATACAACTATGAGAGCAGAATTGTACTGCTTTACTGAAATACTTAATATAGCAGTTCTGCAATACACTTAATTTATGGCCATGTTGCTGTGGGTTTTTGACATAACATTTGTGACCCTAAGTCTAGCTGAGAGCATAATCCCTCTATCATTTTTGACACAGCAAAAAGAGGGGGGAGGGGAGTAATATTTAGATTTTCAGTAGTACTGAAAACAACTTATCATTCATTTTCTAAGTATTTTATATTAAAGTAGTTGGGCCCTGAAATACCATATGCTCTCATTAGACACTTAAGTAGCTGTAAGTCAGTTTACATGTTCACCTAACTTCCAGACAATATTCAGATTCCTATTTGGGGTGTAGAGATAAAGAAAATATGGACACATACAAACTGGGACACAATTCATACTTTTGTCTAGAACCCAGCGTCCCCCCTCCCAGAACCCAGCACCACCCATTTTTAAGAGAAAAGCAGAAACTGTGTCCCAGTTCTCATTTTTTGTGTTCCAAGTTTTCTTTTTTTTTATTATTATTATTTTTTTTAATCCCAACTTTCTCTGCAGTTCCAGGGCCCTCAGCAGCACTAACAACCATGCAGCTGTTCTCCAAGCAGAACCCTTCGAGACAAGAAGTCACCAAACTCCAGCAGCAAGTAAAAGCCAACGGTGCGGGCGTGACAGTGCTCAAGCGGGAAATCTCAGAGCTTCGCACCAAAGTGCAAGAGCAACAGAAACAACTCCAAGATCAAGATCAGAAACTGCTAGAGCAAACACAAATCATAGGCGAACAGAACGCCCGACTGGCTGAGCTTGAACGCAAGCTGCGAGAGGTGATGGAGAGCGCAGTAGGAAGTTCTTCAGGCTCTGGCTCAAACGAACAATCTCCTAGAAAAAGGAGGAAGGCGGTTGAATCCACAGACTGTCCTAGGAAATCTAAACGCCTTCGAAACAGAAAATAACTTGGGAGGAAATGACACCTTCAGGAGGATACACTGCTTCAGTAGCCCAAGCAGCTCTGCTTGTGTGGATACTGTGACTAGTTTCATGGTGTCCCTTAGGCTGCTGGCTCTTCAAAACACCACTTAGACTTGAACAGTAATTTTCTTTCATTAAGACTTTTCCCCTGCTTCCTGTATGGGTGGGCCTAATGCACAGGATCTTTAAGATTTGCAATAGATACATACTAACCAGACCTGCTCTGTTACATTTTGAAGGGTTAATTTTTTTTTTTTTCTGTGCAGATGTGTTTAAAGTAAACTTATTTGTGTTTATGCATATGTTCACATAAACTCTTAAATAAATTCAGTCTTAACTGACAAAAAAGTTAAGCTTAAAAACAGATGTCCTGTTCACTTGAAGAAAAGACCCGCTTTTAAAATCCTGTTTTAGAGAACTTGACCTTTTTTGTTACAAGTGACCTTGTCTGGAATGTCTGAAAAGCAGTTAATACTTTTTTGGGATCTCTGTAATGAGTAAAACTGACTTCTTAAGCTACAGTACTGGCTATATATTTTTGTAAACTTAACAAGGAAGGGCCTTCTATCCAGTCTTCATGTGCGCACACCCTAGTAATTCTTAGGTCCTGGGAGCCATATTCTACGTTTGCATGGATAGATGCATGTACAGCTTAGCCTGATAAAAGCTCTTGCCTGAAATTGTTCTAAATTCTGGGAGAGAGTACAGAGACCTACAAAGCAATTTCTTTGTTCCTCAGCCATAACTTAGCATCAGCTTTCAGCACAACTGCTTTCTTCAAATGAGGTTGTCTTACGAAGCTAGTTGCAGGAGGACTTGAACCCAGGCTGTCTGCCACTTTCACTGCCTGTAAATTGCAGGTGTTGCTAGCCAAAGCTGGAGAATTGAGAAGCTGCCTATGCATCGCTTGATTCATAGGCCAACATCTAAATAAATATTAGACACATTGTCCCTACAATAACCAAACTCAGGGGGACATAATTTGAATGAAATGCTGTATTATGGAAAAAGTTAAACTATTTTGTGTGTATGTGTTCGGGGTGGGGTGGGGTGGAGATTTCCTCTGTAATACTGATGACAATATTCTAGCTTTCTTCATCCTAAAAGGTAAATCACTTCAGACAAAGCTTTAATTTCTTTTGCACTTCTGTTTTGAGCTTGTAACTGGAAAAGCATGTCTTGCACTGTTCAGTCTCTCTGGTCACTTTAACAACCTCAGAGTTGTGTACAGTGATTTCTTTTCCCATCTGTATATTTTTGGAATCTTATACAAATACCATTGTCCTTGTTTTTGTTTTATTGTACTAAACTATGTAGCTTTATCATTTGACTTATGTTTTTTTTTTTTTTTTTAAATCAGCTGCTGGTTTGGGCTTAGGTGGTACTGAATTCACCTTGATGTGGCAATGAAAAGCACAGATGCTGCTTTTATGGCTGTTCAAAAGCCTAATACTATAACCAGAGAAAATACTATGCTAATACTATAACCAGTGCAGGTTTTTCTTACGGTTTGTGTAGCTGTCAGCATAACACAGTAGTTATACTAAAATCACCAAACAAATCAGAAATCTTCTGATCAAATGTTCTGGATCTGTAGAACTGTCATTTTTTTCCTGAAACGGAAGCTACAGCTTTTGCTTCTGGAACATACTAACTCATATCAGAAGTAACACTGCAAATGCCTAATTTTTTTTAGCAGACATTTGATTTTCAAATAAACTTGTTTGCCAGATTGAGGCTTTTAAGAAGGTATGTTTCTTAAGAAAAGCGTGGAGCAAATGGTACAAGGTTATCTGGGGGAGAAGTTGAACTGTTAAAAGGCTGACTTGCTATTAGTGGTCTTCCATGGCTCTTAATTTTTTTACTGTTATAGGTCTTTTGAAGAGAGGTATCAGCTGTGCAGTTTTAAAATAATGGCATATACTTCTTTTAAATCGTAATTTTGAATGATTCTAAAGGTCAGCATAAGAACTGTAATTACTTTGTGTCACTCGGTACAAATTCACTTAATGGCCTTTCATAATGACAAATTCATGTAATAGTCTAATTACCAGATGATGTTTGTGGTTAAATACTTCTAAACAAGTATAAACCTGTGAAGTACATTTATTGAAAAGACTTATTTGTACCTATCTTAATATACTTCAGTTTTAGATTCGTTATTCACTTCTACAAGATGCAACGACATTCCTCCCTTCACAACATACAAATAGTTTCAGGTTAATGGGGAGTACTGTTTATTTGTATGTCTGTGAACCTCTAGCTGTGGAAACTGAGGTGGAAAGAACGTCCGTGTATTTATTGTTACATGAAATATTCTCTGTGAACAGTGCCAAGTTGGAACCTTCAGCTCAAGGAAGTGCTGTGTGCTGCAAGTCAGCAGGTGCATCCTGCTCCTCTGCACCCTGCCAAATACAGTCAAACTGAACCAAGCCCACTGAACTTCACGGACAGAGGGAAGGCTTACAAACAAGCTCTGATAAATGCCATCAAGTACACAATGAAGGTGTACAACCTATTTCATTTCCACTTCCCAGGGAGGGGGAGAGAGGTCAGTGATGGTCCTGAAAAGGTGGGAGTATATACCAGTACTACAGAAGTAATGATAGTTTAGACAAAATAGCTGGAACACGAACTTCTGATGCTGTCTTTTCCCTTATTTAATAATAATAATAAAAAAAAGGCATTTTGCAATATATGAACAAGTTGATAAATAGGTTGTAGTAAAACTAAATCACAATTTTGCAGATTTTTGTGCAAATTCACAGTGTTTAGGATGTCAACCTACAAAAGTGCAGTGATAGCAGCTATCAGTGATTGTATCAAGGAAGAACCCCTCACTAGGGAGACTAAGATGTTTTAATGAAGTAACATGAAAACATTGTTTTATTTGCAGCCAACTATCAGATTGTGCAACAAGTTTTATGACATGGAGCAAGGGCTGAGACAGCTCCTCAGAGTTGAAAGAGAAAGTGATAGTACTGGTCTTCTGGAGTTAGTTTCTGAGAATTGCTTAAAACTGAGGCTGGCCATCCTTTTTGACCTTTTAAAAAAATAATAATAATAATAATAGTAATAATAAAGAACTAGAAGTTTTCATTTCATAGGTTTTATTTATTTTTTTTTTATTTAAAAAAAAAGAAGTTTGGGTATCTAATGAACATGGTGAAAATGCTATCAGAAGACTAGAAGCTGCACAGTGATCCTTTTTTGAGGGAAAAGCCGTTCGCAATCATATCTTGCTCCCCAAATTGAACAACCTGTGATTTTTCTGTGAATATGTAAATACAGAAATACTATCACCTTCTGAACAAAGGGTAATAGATATAATAGGTGAAAGCCCTGAAGGAAGAAAGACACTACCTACTTAACAAAATAAATTTCTCAGATTAATGACCAGACAGAAATAGTAACTCCTTAAATTTCTAACACTCTTAGCATAGCACATTAATTTAATCACAGAAGTTTATTAATGTTATGAGGATGTCTTTTCATAATTTCTTAATGTGAAAGTTAAGTCTGCATTGAACAGAACTTAGTTGCTCTTACTGCAATCTTCCAAGAGTTAACTATGGCGAGTGCTTAGATTACCTAGGGAATTTTGTACGTTAAGGGCTTCTTGAAAACAGTATGGCATGGGAGCTGTAAAATCCATCTTCAGAACAGAGAAGACTACCCAATTTGTTGGTAATCCTGATGGTTTTAAAAACGTAACTGATCAATTACAGTGATGGATCATTCATACGTTCACCAGTAAATTTAGTTTGGGATACTTTATAGTGATTTGCCCACTAGTTGTGAGCTATTCTGATACTCTGCAGTTCCATTCCTGCACTGCTTTATGCTGTATCTGGACCAACCCTGTTGTCCACGTGCTCTCTGCTGTTGCAGAGGCGTGCTGACTGCATCACATCTTCCTGGTTCAGCAGGGATGCGCTGCCAGGTTTGGTTTATGTGTAACTAAACACTCCGCGATTTCTGTTCTAGCCTTGTGCTGGCTGAAGACGTGCTAGGTACTGGACCTCTCTGTCTTCTGAAGAGAAAATGCCAGGTACAGATACTGTTCGCTTGCTGAAGACCTAAAAAATCTGGATTTGTTATGTGGACTGCCTTAACCAAAGAAAGACTCCGTGATTACATAGTAAATACATAAATAAACAAATATTTGCACTTGAAGATGCTTGGGCAACTAAATTTTCTAAAACTCCCATTTAATATCTTTCCCAGCTATTTAAGCCATGTTTGTCTGATAGGACCATTTAGTTTATAAATCTGGAATCTTTTATCAATTTTCCCTCCAAAACTCGTGACTTCAGAAACCCACAGTGCAGTAAATATGCCTCAATGATCAACCACCAGAACGATCATATTCTCCCTCTCCTCCAGCTATCACCTTTCTTACCAGCAGACGTTCACACTTTTATCAGTATCATTCCAATGGATGAGAAGGCCCTTGGTGCAATGACGGATAGCAGTGCTAAACCTGGAAATACAACTGTAAGAGAAAATTTGCAGAAACATTACATACAGTGTTTAGAGTGCAGCTGAGTGAAACACGCATGATCTTGGCAACTTTGCACTCGGTCTTGGTACTGATAGCACAAAAGTACTTCCCGGCCTAATATGAAGGAGTCAGTGAACAAAAAGTAAAACTTTTTCTAAACGTCCCTTGCCAGGCCAAAGTGCCATGATGAAATTTAGATATCTGTTTATGCTGCAGCAGTCCTCAGAAAGACTACAAAATTAGATCATGTGGCTAAGCAGAGAAAAGCTGTGAGTTAACTTACCTCCTTTTTTACTTCTATTTCATATTTTAACATACACAGATTAAAAATGCATGCAAACAAAACCATTTGCTGTTACGTTTTACAGATCCTGTGCTTTGTCCATTACTTTAGATCATACCATCTTCAAGTGGGGATCACATTTCCCCTGTTTTCACAGCTGCACCTGTGACTTTTAGCAGCTTGCATGTATTGGCCTTTTTTATTATTATCAATAAATTTTAAGTGAGTCAACATGAGCCTTGAGATATCTGTTAGTGTCATGAATAAGGTCGTACTTTCTTTGTGGTAACTTCTGTTGTTGTTATCACTGCTGTTGGTTATTTGAATATCAATGGGTTTATGGACAACTAAAATTCCAAGCAATAGTCGTTTAACTTCTACATAAAGTAATCTTTGTAGTCAAACTGCTCACAGTTAAGTGTAATAAGAAAAATAGATGCAGGTGCAGATTACATTGAGTTTAGTTCTTACAGAGCAGTTTGTCAATGAAGTTCCTAAAACATCATAGATACATTAAGGTTGGAAAAGCCCTCCAAGATACCTGGTCCAACCATCTCCGTACCACCAATATCACCCCCTAAACCATGTCCCCAAACACCCCGTCCAACCTTTCCTTGAACACCCCCAGGGATGGTGACTCCACCACCTCCCTGGGCAACCCATCCTAACGCCTGACTGCTCTTTCTGAGGAGAAATGTCTCCTCATTCCCAACCTGAACCTCCCCTGGTGCAACTTGAGGCCGTTCCCTCTTGTGCTATTGTTTCTCTGCAAGATAAGCAGTCTTCTCAGCTCCTCACCACTTCCTTTCAGGTAGTTATCTTCACAATATGTGAATAAAAAAGACCTTGGTGCAGGCATTTTGAATGGTAATTAGACATCTTTAGGCACCTTACAAAAATTTGTATTTTGGCCAGAGGCAGCTAGTCCTTACAGCCACACACGAGTTACCTCTGGAGAAGAGAAAGCATTTTTTCAGGAACCACTACACAGTGCTGTTGTATGCTTTTCCTATTTTCAGCCTTGCTTCCTAAGAAAATGAGTCATATGAGACTTCATTGTCTCCCTATGTACGCCTAGTGACTTTTGGACACGATGCCTGACGGAAACCTCACAGATAGTTAAAACCTCACGAGTTTAACCGAAGCTGGCAGGCGGCTGGGCCAGATCAGCGTCTAACTAAAGGGAAAGGCAGAACCATCCTGCTATGCCTCAGCCCGGCTCCAGACCTGCTGCAACGCCTCCGCCTGTGTCGCCTGCCCCGCTGAGGGGCGGAGAGGAGCAGGCGAGGGGCAAACCCAGCGCGTGGGGCTCGGGCGGCGCCTTCCTCGCCCTTTCGACCATTTTGAGCTACGCGACCGGCAACGAAGGCGCCGCCGCCTCAACCCTGCTGCCTCACAGCCCCCCGGAGGCCGTTGCCGGGCTCTCCCCGCTGGATTCCCTTCCCCTAGCGGTGGAAGCGGGGCCGTGAGGCGGCCGGGCGCTGCCTCCCCCCCCCTCGGCACCCCCTGAGGCACCTCAGGGCGGCTCCGCCCGGCCCAGGCGCCAATCGGCAGCGCTCAGGGCGGGCTCCTCGCTATAAAGCGCCGCGCCGGGGGGCGCCCGCAGCCGGGCGGGCAGGGCAGCAGGCATGGGGAACGCGGTGGCCAGGGAGGACTTCGAGTGGGTGTACACGGACCAGCCCCACGCCGACCGCCGCAAGGAGATCCTGGGTGAGGAGGGGAGGATAAGCGGGGGGAGGGGGGTGGCGGAGCTCCTCGGCTGAGGGCTGCGTGGCGAGGGGGGGATCCCCGCAAAATGGCTGCCGGCCCCGCGGGGGGGAGGGAGGGGAAGGGAAGGAGACGCGGAGGCTGCTGCTGGCGGCGGGGCCTGTGTGGAGCTGGGAGCCGGCTCTGTGGGGTGAGGAGGAGAAGGGAAAGGGGAAGGGAAGGGAAGGGAAGGGACGGGAGGAGCCGGGCCCGCTAGGGAGGGAGGGAGGGAGGGAAGGAGCCGCGCGGTGTCCGCCGCGGCCACGTCCTGCGGCCGGAGGAGCCGGGCTCACCTCAGGGCCGCCGGCGCGAAGCCATTTCCTTCCCGGCCCCTTGGGGTGACAGCGCTGCTCGTCACAAAATCGTCTGGCCGCCGAGCAGCGGAAATGTGGTGAAATTGCTTGGTTCTGGGCTTAATCTGAAAGCTCGTTATAGCTATAAATGTACCACACGGAATGGGGGTCTCTCCTTCCTTAATTAGGAGGAGGGAAAGGAACGGTTATATGCCCCTCTGCTATCTAATTAGGGCGGCATGCTGTGACGAGAGCTTATAAATAAATTTTTAAATCGAATTCTCTCCCGTGTAGCTAAGCATCCCGAGATAAAGGCGTTGATGAAGCCAGACCACAACTTGATCTGGGTGGTTGTGCTGATGGTCCTGGCGCAGCTGACTGCCTTTTACCTCGTTAAGGACTTGGACTGGAAGTGGGTGGTCTTCTGGGCGTACGTGTTCGGGAGCTGTATTAGCCACTCCATGACTCTGGCGATTCACGAGATCTCCCACAACAGTGCCTTTGGCAATAGCAAAGCCATGTGGAACCGGTGGTTTGGAATATTTGCCAACCTCCCTCTTGGTCTCCCGTATTCGATATCCTTCAAGAGATACCACATGGATCACCATCGATACTTAGGAGGCGATGGAATCGACGTGGACATCCCTACCAACTTCGAGGGCTGGTTTTTCTGTACCCGCTTCAGGAAGTTCATATGGATTGTTCTTCAGCCGTTCTTCTATGCCATTAGACCCCTCTGCATCAATCCCAAACCAATTACTCGACTTGAAATCATCAACTTGTTGGCTCAGCTTTCCTTTGATGTCGTGATATATTATTTATGGGGAGCCAAATCCATTTTTTACATGCTTGCTGGTTCAGTACTTGGACTCGGTTTGCACCCGATTTCAGGACACTTCATAGCTGAACATTACATGTTTCTGAAGGGCCATGAGACTTACTCCTATTACGGGCCACTTAATTTGCTCACTTTTAATGTTGGCTATCACAATGAGCACCACGACTTCCCCAATATTCCTGGCAAGAGCCTCCCACTGGTAAGTTTACTTCCCAGGTTGTTCTTTTTTCTTCAAATGAGCTTTACTCTAATTTGAAAATCAGGTTGAACATAAATAGTTACAAGAAAGGAAGTTACAGTGTTACAGCCCTTGGAAGTTAGAATGGAATATGGCAATTGCTTCTCTAAAACAAAAAATGGGAGTAGATTGATGGGGAGAAGCCCCAGACAAACTTCTCATGTGCTATCTGTTCTAACCCCTTCCGTAAAAGGAGAGGAAATGCATGTCTTGCTGTCTTGGCTTTATGCTTTGTACTGACTTTAGGCCTCTGTTGTTATGGACAGCCTTTGGTATTCTTCGGTTTGGAAGTATGCAGAAAACTAGTCAAGTTTCAGGCACCTTCAGAGGCTTGTCATCTCTGTTTCTGAAATACTAAGTAAAACATTGCAATGCATGCTTATCCTTCAGTCCCTTATCAGTGACATTCTCTGGTGGGGGAAGGAGATACGGTTTGAGGAATGGCTGGTGTTTGTGTTGTTGACAAATGCTTAATAGCTTTCTATTCTGGAGCAGCTCAGTCTTTCTCTAATGAGAACCTTTGAATGCTAAGTAAGTATCAGCTGTACAATGGCAAGGCTTCAAAACTAAGATCTGTGACATTTGCATAAGTCTAAGTAGCAGATGTAAAGTTTTGAATTGGTTCTCTCCCATCTTAGTCTTTGCTAGTTGCTTTTAAGTTGGAGCTTAATTCTTTCTTTGTTTCTCAACGAGAGTACAGGTGTCCAGGACTATACCTAAAGGTAATCTTCAATTAAATGTGTTTTTTGTCACACTAAATTTGTAGTTTGACAGAAGCTGTAGTGTTGGGCTTGTAGCTTTGTCCTTGTGGTTGGCAAGTGAGACCTGGGTAAGACTGTGCCTTAATTGGAGCCTTAGCTCTTTTTAAAGAGAAATTACATTTCTTAAACTATATTTGGAAGATTAAGTCTATGAATAATATGTGTGAGCTCACCTAACTCACCATTGATGTGTAGATCTGTGCTGGTAAACCAAGTTTCACTTCATGCACCAATACTGAAGTTCCAAATATGGAATGATTTTTTTTCAAGCATTTCATTGCAGAGAGAAAAACTCTCCTCTGCTACAGGACTGTTAGTCTACAGGTTTGATGAGAAAAGTCTTTTCTTTGAACAGCTTAGCTAATTTCATTGGACTGGACTCTGCTATGCTCTGAGCTTAAAAATTGCTGAATTAATGGGGGCGAACTTAAAATTGAAGTTTACTGGTTAGATGACCTGTTTGATAGTGTGATGATAGATCAAAAGCATCTTCAGTTCTGAACCAAGCATGTAAATACCTTAATTTTGCTTGTTGTTTATAGGCATTGATAATAATCTGTCTGAAACTGGAATTTAGTGAAAGCTCAGTCTTGTTCTGTTCAGGTTTTAAAGGTGTTAGCTGGCTGCAGGATTTCTGACTGAAACTCTGGTAGCCTCACTTTAAAAAAGTGTACTGTTTAAAAAAAATAAATTCTACATATAGGAGTAAAAAGCTTTAGAAGGACAGGCATTGAAGAATGACTATAGAAACAAGATATTCTTCCAAGGAACAAGTTTTTTCTGAGTGCTGAGGTGTGAAACTACGTACTGAAAATGGCTGTTAACTCCTCTTACAACTTTGCTAAGTCTCTTTCAGTGATACTTGTCTGTGTTTGTGTGTGTATATATATGTGTATATATACACGTGTGTGTGTGTTTATATGCACACACACATCAGCTCTGAGTTGAGTCCCTCACCTCAACTAGCAATCCAACTGCTTGCTTGCTTGGAGTTGGTGAGCTGCATTGTTCCTTAGGTAGCACAATGAGTGTTAGGCTTAGTTTGTCCTGGTTAACCTTCACAGTGTGTGAGCTTCACATGAAGGAGGTGATGAATCACCAAAAAGAAACTTTCACATGGTGAAAGCACTAAGAGCTTTTCTTCTAGAATCTAACATCTAAAATAAAACTTCTAGTCTATCTGCATTAAGATACAGGTTGGAGATAGTAAAGTTGTCATGATTGGTACTAATATAAATAGTAAATGAACCTTGTGTTTCTCTTCAGGTGAAGAAGATAGCGGCTGAATACTATGACAACCTGCCACAGTATAACTCGTGGATTAGAGTGCTTTATGACTTTGTGATGGATGACACAATCAGCCCATATTCACGCATGAAGAGGCAATTGAAGGGTGAAGTGAAACAAGATTAAAGTTCTGGCAAACAAGAAACTTTGAAATGTCTGCTTGCTTTAAAGTGACTGGTATAAAGTCTCTTGCTAAAGATGTTGACTAGTGTCCTGAATTAAGATCTACAGCAACATAGCAATGCATTCTTAAAGATTTTGTAGCAGACTATTACCAGCTGTAACATTCCTAGCAGTCCTCAGATTCATTGGTTAAATGTATGTATGTTTGCCTAAAGATCAGTGTTATATGCTTCATGCTAAATTACTTTGTTAAAGGATTTACTCTGGCAGGTGTTCAGTCTGTACAAAATATCTGTTTCGCTCTCAATATTTTAAAGGTTCCCAGTGTAGCACGCTGCCCACACCGTGCTGTTTAGCTGACTGTAGTAGTAAGATGCTGTACTTACCTGGCAATTCTAACATGATTTGTTAACTTAAATCTTCTGTTGAACTTGTTTCCTGATTCATGGGTAGAACTAAATTCACACAAATGTTAAGTCCCTTTTGTTTAAATATTTAATGCCACTTGAAGTATTACTTGGAAGTGCTACCTGTCCTACAGGAAGTACCTTAAAGGAGCATTGTATCACTTACATGAAACTGGCATGATATAGGTGGCTTGTGATATCCCTGTGAAAAGTTGGGGAATTTGATGGTATCACGACCTTTGAGGGTCTCCATCTACTCCTTCAACTGCTTGTGTTGGCATGTAGCTTGAGCAGGCAGCATCTGGCATCTTGTGTAAGCTACAAGGTAACTGAGCAAGGTTTTTGCAATATGGAAAAAATCTCAGTTCTGTGATCTGAAGTTATTCTCATCTGTGGAGTAAAATGACTAGGTGGGACCTAGCTGTTTCTGCTGTTACTGTGCTTTTAAATGCTAATATTGACTCTTGTTTGGAAACTTGGCTTGTATGGAAAACTGAATCAGTTGAAGCAGATACTGTTCTGGCAAACAATGCTAGCTACAACCACTGGCAACTCAGCCCTTTAGGTGTATTAGTCACTTGTGTGCACAGGAAGGTGTTGCTAAGTGTTCTTGATTTTTAAATCAACAGCATCCTACGTAAATACTGGCTTTCATGCATATTAAAATGTGGTGAGAGCATAGGCGATGCTATTGAATTTCTTTCTTAAGAAGTTCTTGAAGTGGGAACAGAGAATGGAGACTTACTGAGCACAGGAGAATCTCTACATACCTCAGCGCAGTATTTGTCTTCTATCACGTAATGCATTGGTGATAGCTTTAAGCTGTGGAAGATGGATACAAGTCACTATTAAATCTCTTAAATGCTATCCATCTTCACTTTAAAAGATGGAACCCGATGAAGGTAAAAGTCTCAGGCTCCTGTCCATACTGGTCTGCTGTAAGTAACTTAATTTTTAGATATCGTAACTTCTGCATTTTTATTTTCAAAAGAAGCTGAGTACCTAAGAACACATTTACATCTGAACCCTCAGCTGACTGTGGTCATGTTTTCTAATAGATTTTTTTTTAAGGCAGGGCCCTTATCTGTGGTTAAGTAATAGAAATGGTATGAAAGTGTGCCAACCACTTACAAAGCAACTTCATTGTGATGCCAATGATACAGTAGCTAGCCAGCATATTATAGCTCAGGGTACAGTGTAATGTCACTATATACTTTATTCAGTATTTTTACATGTAATTAAAAAGCAAAGATTCAAGTAACACTGGGTGTTTTTTTAACTGGTCCCCTAATGCTACAGGACTGAATTTTTAGATAAAGCATATTACTGAAGCAATTGCTAGAAGGCCTGTCCTAATGAGTGGTGGTGTGGAATGATCTGAAGAATTGCTGCCTCTTCTTTCTACTCAGAAGAAAATTGACTTTGAAGACTTGAATAGGTTTAAATTGCAAAGCAGTCACTTCTTAAGCCCTCAACTCAGGAACTGAATGGTGGTACTAAATATCTTCAGTGTTGATGGCTCACCATAACAAGAATGTAAAGTCCCTCCAAAATGTTTTGCAGTTAAAAGATAATGTGGAGAAGTTAATTCTCTTAAATACTTATCTCTGAAGACAGATCAGATATGTACTTTCATCCTTAGGCTTAGATACCTACTTCAAATTCTGATTATAAACACACTTTCACTTTAAAAGGTGCAGAATAGCAGGGAATTCTGAGAGAAATGCCTGTGCTTGCTGTAGGCTTTCTGAAACATCTGCTACGGGCTACCATTTGGAGAACGTGTATTGGACTAGTTTAATCTGGGCCAGTAACATGTTTGAATCTAAACCATCATCTGACTTTTGCAAGCATTGGTAACCATCATTTTAAGATAACTTAACTCCCATGCATTGCATAAGAGGTGTCTGCATCTGGCTTCATTAGCAGGGATTTTGCCAGAAGCAATCTGAAAGCTGGAGGAAGCTCTGACTAACTGCAAAGCAAAGACCAAACAACCTAAAGAGCACTAAAGACCTTGGCAGTCTTTTTAAATTATATTCAGATGGAACTGGTTAACTTCACCATTTTTCAACATGCTTGTTAGGGTTATTCCTTCCTGTGTAATTAAACCATCTTCCTGGCTTGTCAGACAAAAACATTAAGCACTTCTCACAGCTTTTAACATTCCCCTCTCCCCCAAATTACTTGAAGTTGCTTAAGTGCAGTAAGTAATGCATCCTGGAGTCTGATACTTGGCATGAGTTTTCCCACAGGACAGGCGTGGATGTATTCCCCTTTCACAACAATCTACAACAATCTTTGCCTTTGGCTTTCTTGTTTTGTTGTTGAACCTGTCTGTTCTAGAACAGCAGCCAATTATCATGGATTAAATGGCTGCACCTTCCTGGCTGTGCAATTCCACTTTCAGATCCAAGGCGAGACTTTTTACTTAGAACCAGTGTCAGCTGAAAAGTAGCTATGACTTTTGGTTCTGTGTCTGTAGTAAGGTTTCTGTTAATCTTTATATGCAGTTAGCAAGCACATGACACATTTAAAAATAAAAATCTCCAAATACTGGGAAATTGATCTTTTCTAGGTAAATTGCAGGCTCTATCACACTCATCCTATTGGATGAAGAAGAGAAAAATTCATTTCAGGTAGTGAACTTGCCTGGTAAGTGGTCCAAGGCAGCTTTTAGCAAGTGTACTCCTTTGTAAATTTAAAAGAACTAAGGCAAAGTAAGTACTTCTGTTTTTAATACTTCTGTTTTTAACCTTGCATGCTGCAAAGCACAGAGCCCCTTCTAGGTCTACCAGGACTTTTCCTGGGACTGTCTACAAACAAGCAATCTGATAAGTACATATGCCTAAACCTTGTAGTGGTTTGCAGATTGCCCTTGGTATTGCAGTCGGCAACAGAATGCTACATATGCAATGCTCTATCAAATCCTCTGTTTCATAATTGAACCTGCAATGTAAGGAAGGACAGAATTGTTGAAAACGTTTCCTATTGAGCCAAAACCAAAGGCAGTGAATTGTGTTGACAGTTCCCTGGACTGGCTCTGATGCCATCTATGCTTAAGTTACCATCTGACATGCCCTGCTACGGAATCATTACTGTGACTTAGATATGTGACTACCTTCAGGAAAAGTGAGAGAATGATGAGATACTTGGTTTCTGTTGGAACAAGATCAAGATGAGGACTAGAGGGACGGCTTCTTCCAGCTCCATCTGCTAGGAAAGAAATAGCATTTGTAGAACAAGGTAGTGGTCTCTGTATTGTATGAATGCCTGTCTTCTATGTACAGGCACACGTGATCTTGTGTTTTATCACTTATCAAGCTTTTTTCTGATGAGTATTGTAGCCAAAGCAGAATTTCCTATTAGACAAAGCACCCACATGGGTGCAGAACTTTCTTGTGTGAACAGTCAAAAGTTCAGTTGCCTGCTCTCCTGCTCCTTAATGATTGTAGCCGAGACAAGGTAAGCAAACAGGATATGGGTATTTATCTCTTTCAATCTTTCAACTTTTCTGGTAACTTCAAACCTTCCTGCACCCCAATGTTACATTTTCAAGGTGTCTTGTGATCATTCTTCTTAATATTAAGGCATGTTTTGTTGGCAAGGCTATACTGTTATTACTACTTGAATAGTAATGCTGTTCAAGCAGTAGTAATATTACCTCCTTGGTCTTGTTCCTACCCTGCTTGCTTGTTCCATATATGGAACAGGAATAATATTCTTGTAAGAGGAAAGAATGAGAAACTTCTTGGTGGATATGCCAGGGCTTGAGGACCTGACTCATTCATAAGCTCATCCTCATTCATAAGCTCATCAGCTACAGCTATACTGAGGTCTGCTACAAGATTTTCCTCTATACATCCATAAAGGAGAAAACATTCATGTGGCTGTTTTCAATTGTAAAACAGTATCTTGCTTGCCATGCATTTTTCCAAGAACGGATGCCAAATATTTCTTAAATTGTATCACTGAAGTTGCGTCACAGATTTTTCTTCTGTTCCTGATCAAGTTTTTATATGTAATGTATTTTTTGTTTGAAAGCAATGTATGCCACAGTTTTTTTTTAAAGCTATAATTCTACAAAAATGCAGAACTGCTTGTGCTTTCAAACTTGAAAGTAGCATACTTGATACTTGATATCAAGATACTTGAAGTAGCATATACTGTTTTCATATGGCTCCAGATGGAATTTTTTCCATTGTTCAGCTCTTTCAAATGGTTAAGTGAATTAAGTTATTGTACTAAAAGGCTTCACAGCTTACTTTCAAACAGTTGGAGCTCTCCTATAAAGCAAAATATTTATTCTTAAATGTAACTAACTCTACAGTTGTAGAGATAAAACAGAAAAAAAAAATTAGTTAACGTAAGTTGCTCTTGTTTAGCTCTATACAGACTTATTGTCTCCTAGATAATTGAGACAGTTTGCTTAGCTCTGGATAGTTTCTTTTGATAACATGAGAAGACAGCAGAAGCTCTGAGAACAACTGTATCTGGAGAAGGCACAATTAATGGTATGGTAACAAACCATGCAACACCTTCCCAGTCTACTTTCACAGCTCTTTTCTTTGTGTAATTCTTCCAGAGTCCTTGTTCTTGAAAAACACAGCTGTTTTCATTAACAGTTGAAAACAGCTAGTAGAGCAGCAGAAATGTTGAAGGGTTAGCCTGTGTGCTTCTGAGGGTTTTCTGACTAAGGGCACCAAATATGGATGAAAATAGCCTCTGATCTTGAGCACTAAAAGTGTTTTTTTTTTTTTCATGGTGACAAGTAGAAACTGTATCTTTTATTCTCTAAGTAGTTAAATTAAGGATTGTTTACAGCAGTAGATTACAATGACTTTTTTTCAGGTGCTGCATAAAAAGTTGAGGGAGATGTGGTACAGCTTCTTTCCAATCTGTCTCTTGAAATCTGGTGCAGATATTAAACTCCACGTAGAATAAGACTCTTCTAGTAATTGTCCAGATGTATCACCTGCACAGTGACTGACGCAATTCTTCATACATTATTTGATCCTAACAGTGCCAAGATAAGAGGGGAAAAAACACTTTAGACAACGCTAAACACATGCAACACTTACAGGTTACTTTACATAATTATTAAATATGTGAAATAATGAAAACCATGAAAATCTAAGCCTCTATCTCTACTCTAAAATATTGACCAAGAAAGCTTAACTAAGGGTGAAAATAATCCTGTTGCCCTTGTAAATGAGGTTCTCTACTCATAGTCACCAGTGGTATGCAATCAGCAGAAGCCTTTGGCAGAGTTATTCTACTTAATATTGCCATGCTAGACTTAGAATTCAGCTTTGCAAGAAAGTTATAGCTGTTGTTGCCAGGTGAGTTACCAAACTCTCCATCTACTCACTCATCCATGTCTACCAAAAGGAGGAGACAAGATCGTCTTTTGCTGGTCTAAGTAGGTTAAAATAGTTACCTTGTTCTCTGGCTATAGTTCAAGTGAATATATTATTTTGACTGCAGTATGCTCTTGGCTGTACATGAAGACCTATTAAGTAACTGCAACAATAACAATTTCAATATTTACTGCCTTCTAACTTACAGTAAGATTAGTGAACAGATTTAATTTCAGATGTTAAAAATAATTAGCCATAGATAACCTTTAAAGCATGAACTTCCTTGACAAATGCAAATCAGGAAAAAATCAGTTATCTCGATTCTTATCAGTCTTTTCATATCTCAGAATGACGTCTTTTGCACATTAACAGAAATGGCTGAGCACCTCCTGGGTGCATGTCCAGAAAGGTGGTGATAAAGTCTAAAGGCCATGACTTCTAACTAAATATTCTGCAGATGTAAGAGGTGAGGATCAGGTGAGTAACTGATCTGGAAAAGGCAATTAAAAGTTCAAGGTACTACACTGAAAGCTAACTGACAGCAGGGTAATCCGTCTACCACAATGCATCATCTGCAGAACCTGCAGGTGAAGAGACTTCCATTTCTTCACTTCTCAAAAATATCAGAAGTATGTTGGAACAGAGGTAATGTCATGTGCTAGAATGCATGCCAAGTGTATTGCAACCATCAGTATTCTCACCACTCCAACATATAAAGAGCCCCTTTTAGGGGGATGATCATACTTACATAATTGAAGTTATTCTTACCTTTTTTGATACTGAAGATTTTACTTTCCTAAAAGCTTCTTCAAAGTGTTTATGGGAAATCCTGATTTCTCCTGAAAGAACAAAGTGTAAAACGTTACTAGACAAAACTACAGGCAAGTGACAATCAAATGCTGCATTGAAATACATGCAAAAATCACTTATGAAACCAAGCTTAACTCCATGTACTAATCAGTTGCATGAGATCTAACTGAATAATTGAGATCTGAATTGAAAGAACACCTCAAGTGTTACATTTAATATATCCTGCTTCTCCTGAGGAGGTAGAGTGAGAGCGCGGTTGTGGTGGAGTTCAGCTGCCTAGCAAGGTAAAACCACCACAGAATCATAGAATAGCCTGAGCTGGAAGGGACCCACAAGGATCATTGAGTCCAACTCCTGGGTCCACACATGACCACCTAAAACCAGAACATACATCTGTAACCATTGTCCAATGCTTCTTGAACTCTGGGCTGGCTCATTGCTGTGATCACTTCCTTGGGGAGCTTGTTCCAGTGCCTGATCACGCTCTCAGTAAAGAACCTTTTCCTAATATTCAGCCTGAGTCTCCCCTGTCACAGCTTCATACTGTTCCCTTGGGCCCTAGCAGTGGTCATTAGAGAGAAAAGATCAGTGCTTGCTCCTCTGCTCCCCCTCAAGAAGAAGCTGTAGGTAGGCCACCACAAGGTCTCCTCTCTTCCCTAGGCTGAACAAGTCACTTCAGGCACTCCTTATATATTGTACCTCAGGCAAGTGCTTAAGCCCCATTGTCCCTTGTACTTTGAAAGAACACCCTGTTTGTTTGAGAAAGCTATGTTAGTTATTAATGTTTCTATTTGCAGACTGACCCTTTCATTGTCAAGGTGTCAACAACATCAACTTCAGTTAGAATTCACATCCCTCATTCCCTTCTAGAAGGAACTTCTCATCCTGCTGCTTCTACTTCTATGCTTTACCATCTATACACATTTAATATTAAGCTTCTCTACATAATTGTATTTAGTAACTATAAAACATTATCCCAATTCTACCACAAGATACTTACTTCCTAAATAATTCATATCATTGTCTTGTTTGACATCACAGAACTGAAAGCTGTTTTTTGCTTTTTCAATTGCCTCTAAGTTTTTGTAAATCCCTTCTTTGATTCTAATGCAGCTATCTATTTTTTTTTTTGTTTTGTTTGCTGTTGCCATTGTTTGGTTTGGTTTTGGTCTGCTAACAGGTAAGCACAGCCTCAAATAAATCATGGATCCCTTTGCTCTCAACAAGTGAGACGCTAGTCTAGACTCAAGAATCCCAAGATACCACTATTCAGAGTCACTACAACGCTAAAGCTCATGTATCACGTGCTAGAAGCAGATAAAAATGTCTAGATTCAATTTGCTGCATTTTTTATGCATTCAATTAAGATGCTTTTAGCTTCCATGGGTATGTACTGTCACTACCTTTATGAACATCTTTGTAATGTGAACAGGATGTACAGATATGAAAAAATTCTTAAGACTTCTCATTAATATATTTGATATATGAGGTAAGAAGAATTTTCTTCTAAGTTCTTCTGAATAGCAAAGAGACTACACAGCAGATGAAGGTCCCTAAAGATGATGATTTGTTTAAGATGCTGATAAAGTTCACTGAAGTAAATATACAACTTTGCTGCATTTTCTTATCTCAGTTCTCTGAAGCTTTTATTCAAGGTTTCCACTACCATATAGTTGTGCCAGTAAGAACAAACGTGTACATTTAAAGTTTGAATGTAAGTATTTTAATTTATTTGCCCAAGGCAACACCTACTATTAGTAAGAAAAAACTCATCTTAGGTATTTCACAGAAGCCAAATGGCTTTAACAATGACTCGTCAAAACTCCATTAAATATTAAAAGAAAGCTATGAGAATTTCATTTCACTTTCGCTTTTGTTTTGAAGTCTCTTAAATCAAATTATGAAAGGTAATATAGTCTGAGCTACAGGGAGGGGGGAAGGGAAGGGAGAAAACAGCATTAGTCAGCTAGGAAGACAATTAGGACATGACTATCAGTAACCGTCATGGTGAAACAATATGATTCAAATTTAAGTGTATTAGCTATGGCTAGGTGTAAGTATGCTTTTACCTACTGCTAGGTGAAATAGTTTACCTCAACAAAAGTAGGTTAGGCTGCTTCACGTGTATTGTGTTATAAAATTAGGCACAATGCTTGCTAATGTGAAGTTGGCTGTCAGTAGCCTACACCTTTGCTGCTTGCATTATTTGCCTTGATTTCTGAAGACAAAACCATTTAGTC